AGACAATAAAAAGCTGGATTTTGTTTCTTTTTTTTAAAATTTTATTTATTATTTTTATTTTATGTGTATACATGTATTGCCTGTATGTAGGTAAGTGCACCAGTGTCATGCAATGCCTGAGGAGGACAGAAAAGGCTGTCGGATCCCCTGGAACTGGAGTTAGGATAGTTGTTAGCTGCCATGTGGGTGCTGGGATGTGAACCTGGGTCTTCTGCAAGAACAACCAGTGTTCTTAACCCCTGAGCCATCTCTCCAGCCCTAAATATATATTTTTTAAAGCTGGTAAAAACTGGGCAGACAAATTACCTTGCAAGTGTTTGTTTACCTTGCAAGTCTGATTACCTAAGTTTGATCCCTGGATACCACAGTAAAAGGAGAAAACTGACTCCCTAAAATTGTCCTCTGATTTCCATCTGAGTGTTGTGGCACATGTGCCCACACTCACAAATACATCTATCAGCCACCCATACACATGCACCCATACTTACACACATCACATCCACAATTAATAAAAGTAATAAAATGGGTAAAAATTTTAAAATTCTGACAGCAGGAATTTTTTTCCTCTCACTATGTAGTCTTGGCTGGCCTGGAACTCTCAATTTTGTCCACACTCGCCTTGATCTCACAGAGATCTGCCTTCCTCTGCCTCCCAAGTGCTGGGATTAAAGGCATGTACCACCATGCCTGGCTATAAACAAAGCTCGGTTTGGGACATCTGATGATGGCCGAAGCACTCTAGTGGGTGCTGGAAATCCAACCCACATCCTCTGTAAGAGCAGCACACACTCTTAATCACTGAGCCATCTCTCTAGTCTCATCATCAATTTTTGTGGAAATTTTTATAAACCAGATTGCAAACAGGTTCAGTCACTTTCCAAACGTAATAGAAACTAGCAAAATTGAAAATACAAATACCTGGAAGCTGGAAAGACGGTTCAGTGGTTAAGAGTACTGGCTGCTCCTGCAGAGGACCTGGGTTCAATTCCCAGTACTCACATAGCAGCTAACAACTGTCTGTAACTCCAGTTCCAGGGGAATCTAATGCCCTGTTTTGACCTTTGTGGGCACTGCATGACACATACAATGCACTTACATACAAGAAGGCAATACACTCATACGCACAAAAATAAAAATAATTTTATTTTTAATTTTTTTGAGATAGGGTCTTCTTGCAGCCCCAGCTAGCCCTGAACTTGCTATGTAGACCAGGCTAGCCTTGAACTCACAGAGATCTGCCTGCCTTTGACTCCCAAGTGCTAGGACTAAAGGCGTGTGCCACCACGTCCTGCCAAAAAAATTTTTTTTAAAAAAAAAGAAAATGCAAACACTCTACAATCTAGAAATTTCTGGTCTAGGAATCTATATTAAAGAAACTCTCACATATATATATACTAGAATAAAAACCAGAAACTATGTAACTGTCAGTTAAAGGTATAAATTGTGACACAATTCTAGGAAAGACTCCTACAGCTATTAAAGTAATGATGCAAACTTATTCTTTGATCAATTATTGTATCTCAATATGGAGGATTTTTTTAAAGATTTATTTTATTTTTAATTATGTGTATGCACATATAAGTGTAGGTGCTGGTGGAAGCCAGAGGCATTGGATCTCCTGAAGCTGGGGTTATAGGTGGCTGTGAGCTGCCCAACATGGGTGCTGGGAACGGAACGCAGGTCCTCTGCAAGAACAGCACACATTCTTAATCACTGAGCCATCTCTCTAGCCTGGATAGATGGAATTTTCTTAACGATGCTGAGTGTTAAAAGAAAAACTACAAAAACATAAACATATGGTACACTTATTTTTGTATGTGGGGGTGTAAACATATAATATGGATAGACAAATATACATTCTAATTCATAATGATGGATATGGGAGGTGGGCATGAAGGGACTATCAAAAGGATGAAAGGATGCTGTCCATCCTGTAATGCTTTATTTCTTATTTAGAAAAACAAATTTAAAACAAATACAAAAAAGATGTAACTAATCCATTCTAACTCATACAATCAATATTAATCTGAAAAACATACCTCAATTCTGAAATCATCAATTTATTTGCCTCACAGCAGTCGATAAAACTGTCCTCCTTGGATGACAAACTGTTCATCTGGTGCTTGGAAAGAGATGATTTAAAACCAAGTAGTTCTCTTTTTAACTGAAAGTTTAAAAACAAACATTTATAAATATAATATGTATGTGGTATGGCAACTGTTTTCTTACTCAGAACTCTGAGTTTGAAAAATTCTATAAATTTCATGAAAGCAACATAGTATTTACCAATAACAGAATTATAAATTACATTATGAAATATTAAGAATGTGAGGAAATTATAATTAAGCAATTCTTAGTTTAAAATCAATATGGATACATGTCATAAAATATCTAATTAAAAGAAATTGCAGTACTATACACACAGTTTTCAAAAATGTACTAAGGAATGTCTTTCTAGCTGTGCTTATATGTGACAATATTTTAAATATAGACAGGAAGGACATACATGACTTTTTAAATAATTTAAAAATAGTATAAGGAGTAAAACACTTGGTGCCTAAAAACTTCAAATTACAACCAGATCATACATTCTAGAAATGAAGAAATTTCCCATTTCCAAACCAGACTGTTCTTAGTACCTTATGAAAAAAAGGAGCAGGGGGCTGGAGAGATGGCTCATTGATTAAGGACACTGGTTGTTCTTGCAGAAGACCTGGGTTTGAATCCCAGCACCCACATGGCAGCTAACAACTGTCCGTAACTCCAGTCCCAGGGGATCCCACAGCCTCTTCTGACCTCTGCGGGCATTGCACGACAAGGGTGCACTTACTTACATGCAGACAATACATGCATACACAAAAATTTTTTTTTTAAAAGAAGCAAACATATTATCACAGCCACCTTCAGAATCACACATTAAATCATTCTTGACACTGAGCACAAATAAGAATTTGAATTTAAAATGAATGTTATCTGAATATTATTGTGCTTCCATCTCAAAAGGAAACAAATAACATATTAAAGGTTTTGGTAAATACCATCTGAGAAAAGCCAACATAGCAAAGGCTAGGAGCCAACAAGCATCCTGCTTTAAATCCTGCTACTTGCTAGTTAGACTAAGTATTTCTTTGCGGCTACATTTATTTACTAATGAAATGATGATATAAATAAGATGATTTCTAAGTTCCTGTTCAGTTTCATAATTCCATAGTTGACAACAGTTTAAAACTGGTAAGATTTGCCATGAAGTTTATCATCCAGTCATAAGTGAAACCAACAATGATATGTGTCTGTAATTTTCCCATTCTTAACCTTCACTTCATATTTGTCAATAACAAGTTTCTGGCACAGGAATACTCACTTCTTCCTAATCTCACTGACATGTATGAACATTTTAAGTTACATGCCATTCTAATAAGTACATGTAAAATTGCTCAACATTAGCCACCAGAAAAATATAAATTAAAGCCATAATATAACAACACACTTCACATCAAATAAGATGGCTCTAAACAGACAGACAACAAAAATCGACAACTATGCAGAGAACCCAGAAGCACTGCTGGTAATATAAAATGTCTAGTAGTTTTGGAAAATGGTTTGGCGTAAGTTTACCATATGACCCAGAAATTTTACTCTTAGGTATCTACCCAAGAGAAATTGAAACATGTGCACAAAAAGATTTCTATGCCAATATTCATAGAAGCACTATTTATAATAGCCTAAAGGTGGAAATGTCCATCAATTGGTGAATAAATAAAATATGTCATATGCACACAATGGAATACTGTTCAACTCAAAAGAAATGAAATGCTACATGTTTCAACATGAATGAATGGACCTCAAAATATGAAAATTTGCAAAATATCAGACGCAAAAAAAAATCATGTAATGACTGTGCTAATGTGAAATGTCTAGAAAGACAAATCTGTAGAAGAAACAATTAGTGGTTTCCCAAGGGGCAGGGGAACCAATTGTAAAGAGGCACAGGCATCTTTTGGGGATGATAGAAATATGTAAAATTTGGGGCTGGAGAGATGGCTCAGTAGTTGAAAGCACTGGCTGCTCTTACAGAGGACCCAGGTTCAATTTCCAGAACCCACATGGCAACTAACAACCGTCTGTAACTCCAGTTCCAGGGGATCCAATGCCCTCTTCTGACCTCCGTGGGCACTGTACAGCATGGGTGCGCTTACCTACATGCAAGCAATGCACTCATATACAGAAAATAAAATTAATATATAAAAGATTTTTTAAAAGAAATATGTAAAATTGGATTATGGTACTGTTAGAAAAACTAGAACTTTACTAAAACACACTGAATAGTAATCTTTAAAGGGACAGATTTTTAATAGGTAAATGATGCTTCCATAAAGCTCTTTAAAAAAATTCTGTGCAGTTTTTACATATGGCATCTCAGAGACTAAGAACGGGTGAAAGAGGAGAAAGGTGAGTGTGGGGAACAGGTATCAGACTGCAAAGGAAGTGGTAGCTGAAGGTACAAACAAGTGGCGAGAAAACAAGCTGGAACAGCAAACACCAAAGGATGTGCCCTCATAAACTGTGGTAATTTTCTCTGTTACATTGTGGAATCAAGTGACTATGTTTCATATATACTTACTGGCAACTGGGACATCATTTTTTCTAAACCTCTCAGTTCTACCCTTGAACTATCAATTTCCTGCTGACACAAATCCAGTCGTTCATTCTGTGTTGCAATGTGGACCTTCAATTCGCGGTTTTCATTTAGTAGAGAAAAATTTTCTCGCAGTATTTTATCCTTGTCCTCTAACTCACTCTCCAGCCTCAGGATACTTTGTCTAGACTCAGTTAACTGTGTTATGACTTCTGAATTTTTCAGAGCCATAATCCTTAATTTTTCTTTTCCATTGTTATTTTCTTCTTTTAACTGCCTGTAATGAAAAAAGCATTAAAATTAAAATATGCACTCATTTTCAATAATCACATTTAGATACTCACTTTAAATATATATGTTGATGCAGAGTCTCCCTGTAGTCCCAGCTGGCTGGACTCCCTTCGTAAACCAGGCTGATCTTAATCTCACAGAGATCTGCCGGCCTCCAACTCCTGAGTCCTGGGACTAAAGGTGTGTACCACCATGCCCAGCTCTAAATATTTTTTGATGATTTCTAGCCAAGGACATAACAAAAACAGAAAAGTACAGGCCAATATCCTTCATAAAAGTAGCAAAAATCCTCAACAAAATGTCAGCAAACTGACTAGAACACCACACTAAAGATTATTCATGATAATCAAATGGCATTCATCCCAGAGATACAAGGACATCAGGCCAGGCATGATACCTCACATGTAACACCAGCACTCAAGAGGCGGAAGCAAGGGGACTGCTCTAAGTTTGAGGTCAGCCTGGGCTACACAGTGCATTCCAGGCCAGCCTAGGATGCAGTGTGTAACTCAGTCTTTTTTAAAAAAAAGAAGCAGGGGAAAGCTGGAGAGATGGCTCAGCAGTTAAGAACACTTGTGGCTCTTGCAGAAGACCTGGGGTTTGGTTCCTAGCACCCACATGGCTGCTAATAACTATCCTTAACTCCAGTTCCAGAAGATCCAACATCCTCTTTTGGCTTCCACTGGCATTGCACAAACATGATACACATGCATGCAGGCAAAATACTCATAAAACAAAAATAAATAAATAATCTCTTGATTATTGGAGAGATGGTTCAGTCACTGGCAGCTCTTGAAGTGGACTGGGATTCAGTTCCCAGCACCCAAATGGTAGTTAACAACCATTCATAATTCAAGTTCCAGGGGATCTGATGTCCTCTTCTGACCTCCTCGGGCACTGCATGACATGAGTGTACTTACATGTATGCAGGCAAAACACTTATACACACAAAATAATAAAAAAAAAACATATTTTTAAAAAGAAAGAAAGGAAAAGAAAAAAGAATGGTAAGAAACCTGGCTAGACAAGGAGTTACTTGTGAGGTAACCAAGGAAAACTGCAGCTACATCTTGGCAGCTGTGTCTCCTGATTGTAAGAATGCCTCTTTGTGGTTAAACATCCTTGAAGCTGCAGGTATGTTCTAACCACTACATCAAAAACTGCAATACCTGGGTATTTTACCAATTCCCAATGTGTATGAGAAAAGGGTTTGTATTCTCAAAAGACCTGGCATAGGGGCGAGAGAGATGGCCCATTGGTTAAGAGCACTTGCTGCTCTTGCAGAGGACCCAGGTTCAATTCCTAGCACCCACATGACAGCTAACAACTGTCAGTAACTCCACTTCCAGGGGATCTGATGCCCTCTCCTGACCTCCGTGGGCACTGTATGACATGGGCACACAGACCTACCTGCAGGCAATACACTCATATACATAAAATAATAAAATATTTTTTTAAAAAGACCTGGCATAACACCATTTACATTGTAGTTTTGACTCCCCACCCTCATCTTTGTGGGCTTTTGAAGAGGGGAAGAATTATCCTAAAAGAAAGATCTGATCCACCATGATCTAGGAAGGGGAAAGGGTTATCATATCCTCATGAATATGCCCCCACTTCATAAATATAACATAAGCATCCACAACACAGGACCTAAGCACTGCTACCTGATCCCCTCAAGACAGCCCACTCCAAGATTTCTTTGGAGCATATACTATGCTTTGCTAAATATACTTCTGCTTAAAGGGTCTATGTCTTTTGGTTGAAATTCCTCTGAGAGCAAGAACCAAAAAGAAACCTCCACCTACTAACACCTCAGCATATACAAATCAATCACTGCGCCATATCACATCAATAGAAAGAAGGACAAAAACTCTGTGACCATCTCAATAGTGAAGAAAAGGCATCTGACAAAAGCAACGTATGTGATTAAAAACACTAAACTCCTTTCTACATGAAATTCTCACAACAGATGGAAAATTTGTTAATGCTATTTTGTCTCATAATTATTTTTAAAAAAAGAAAATGAGAATACAAAAGGTGTTAAAAGGATATTTCCTAAAATAGAAAAAAAATGAGAAAGCCTAAGCAAGTGTTGAAGGTCTGTGTAGGGTTGTTATATATAAAGGATGAGACAAAAATAATATATACATAATCTTAAAATTTTTACAGTCATAGTATAGTCAACCAGTTTAAGGAACAAAATATATATCTAGTCAAGGTTTATCAGAGAATATTTGGTTTTTTACACAAGCCTTATCTACATATCACATGATAATTAGAAGCACTAGACTGGTGGATGTTTAACAGCTAATATGGTCAGAGGGACTTAAAGGACAGTTTTTGCCCCTTGCCCTCCAAGGTCGACTAAGTTCCAGGGGACTATGGAACATCTCTCAAAATGTCCTGTAACTGTGGTGAGTCACCTGTCCTCTTGTTCAGGGGACATGGACACCCCACAAGATCAACTCAAACCAGTGTCCAGTCTATAAAGAGGAGGGTCAACTCAGAGGAAACATCTCATTCATGCCTCCAGTAAAGCCAGACATGGTTGAGCAGGACCTCTGACTTATCTTCACATAGATGGACCTGGTTAAAGGAGCCAGGAGCTCCTCCCAAGCCCATGGGACCCCTGAGGGACAGATACTCAAATGACCTTAAGTGTAAAAATAAATTGATTTATTTGGGCCAACTGTATGGTCTTAAATACCCAAAAGGAAAGTATAACCAAAGAGTAAAGTCATCAGTATATTTCTTTAAGAGTTCAAGGGATTACACTTCCCAGGCATTAGGCTTAAGTCTATATAAAAAGTTACTTAAGCCAGGTGTGGTGGCACACGCCTTTAATCCTATCACTTGGGAGGCAGAGGCAGGTGGATCTCTGTGAGTTCAAGGCCAGCCTGGTCTACATAGTGAGTTCCAGGGCAGCTGGGGCTACAGGGAGACCATATCTCAAAAAGACAAAAAAAATAATAATAATAATAAAGTTATGACTCAAACCTGGGTCCTCTGCAAAAGCAGCTAGTGTTCTTAACTGCTGAGCCATCTTCTTAACGCCAAGTATATGCGCTTTTAAAAAACTGTTAAACTACATCCCAGACATTAGGCTTAAGTCTATATAAAAAGTTATTTAGACAATTATTTCTCATTGTTGATTTTGTTCCTAACCAGAAACTGCTGCTCAGATGTAAGACTTTAAATCTTGGTCTCCAATACTATAGTGCCCACCTGTAGCTAAGGGAGACAACCAGCTATTGTTCTAAAATGATGGATAAATTTGTTTTCTCCTCCTTTCTAGAAGCCTTTGAGAGGGAACTGACGCTGATTCTAACCACTCCAACAGCTATCAAAATACCTGAAAGCAAATCTTGAATCCATCAATCTTGAGTCCAGCCTTGGAAGACAAAAGAAAAACTAGGAGGAACCCAATAGAGGGATGCTTTTGGAAGCTCTTGTCAAGAAATGCCAATGGATTCTCATATGAACATTTGCAAATTTCCCTATTCTGCCTTTTTTCTAGTTCCTTGTCTAGAACTTGTAATGCTAATTACCCTTGCCTTTACTTCTCCTTCACATCTCCTATTCACAATTCAAGGACTTTCTTTTCCCCCTAGAGATAAGAGTTATACAATTTGGGAGTCTTTTAGATAGACCCACTGAAGGGGTACTCCAACTGCCTCACCCTGCATCCCTGTTCAGCATGGAAGAAGCCGGAGCGGTCTGAGTCCCAATTCCCTATTCCTCTTCAGAGGATCGTGTGATAAGAATAGGAGGTAGGAATTGGCTAGGCAGTTAGGGTAAA